TATCTTCATTGATATTTGATATCATTTTTTTTTTTTTTTTGTTTTGTTTTAACATTTTACCTCCTATACCTTTTAATCTTTTCTTGGCCACCTGGAGATAAAAATTATTCTTCAGCATCTACTGAATTAAATAAACTGAACACTCACCTTTACTTAATAAGAATACATTTTAGAGGATCTGATTTTACTTTTAATTTTTTAGTGGAGAGAATAGCATCCCTTGCCTGTATATGTATTCCCATTATCTGGAAAAGCAAGTGTTGAACAAATGGGAATACTGGAGCTATGGTGTTTGTCACCAGCATCTTGGATATGCTGGACAACGCTCTCTGAAATTCTCTTGTTTCTTTGGGATTTCTGTAGCAATGTACTGAGAAATGGTAAACCTCAGGAGCATTTGACCAGGAAAATGTTATTTAGCATTCTTGAGTTTGGTTTCTCAGCTCTATAGGTCCAGACTTCTTGGGAGCAACTAGTCTGTGGATAGGCACACAGATCATCACATACATGTAATTGTTCTTTACATGTTAACTAGTATATTCATTAATTGTGGAAAATATCTGGGAACTAAGAACTATGGCTGGTCATATGTAAAATACACACAACTCTTGATGAGAAAATAAGTACTTATAAATGGAATTACAATAGTGAAGAGTCTCAGATAAAACAGTGGGAAACCAATAATTCTGACTGGATATTTTCACCAGGCTGTTAAAGAAAGTATCATCCCCCAAAGAACAAACATAGTATTGAAAGTAAAATATAACTAGCCCTGTATCTAAGTTCTTTGCTTTCATAATACAGCTACTTGTTTCATTTCTTATTTCAATACAATTTTAATTTAAAAATGTGTTGGACTGAGACTAAGGAGACATCATTTCTAATTGTGCCATTAACTATTTTCCACTTCCTTGAACCACTGAGTGCTTGATTTTTCCCTCTGTCAAATGGCAAAAATAAGGCATGCCCTACCTATCCTTAAGATTAACTCAATAAATCAAAAAAAAAAATTAAGAAAACTCTTTACAAGTAAAAAGCAGGATATTTATATTAAATGGTTTCTGTGGCTGTTACAAATAGTGTCTTACATTATTTGGGGAACAGAAACACCATGCAGACCCCCTTGAGCTTTTCGCGAAACAGACTATTCTTCTCTGGCCTCTGTTTGTTGTAGCTTCTTCCTTCTATTCTTTGCTTTCCATTTAGCATTATTTTATTCTGCCTACACCGAGTTAAGATTTCTCTTTTACAGAACCCAGAATCCAGACTTGGAACATTAGCATAGTCCTAGATCCTTAAGTTGACCTAGGAGTATAGCCAGAAGTTTATAACATCTCTACAGGAGATAGCCCATTTATAGTGCACATTCTAACACAACCTGTATTAAAAGTAGACACTGCCTTCTATTTATTCAGTTAAAAGTGGAGAAACTCTTTTTTGCCAACTTATGTTATATGAACGTTAGTAAGATGTAAGGAGTACCAGTTTCTTCAGAATTTGTAAATAACCCTTTTTCTGTCTTTACCCTAGAGAACATTTACCTGCTCACTAAACAATGTATTTCCCAAAGCAAATATCACATGGTTTATAGATGGAAGTTTCCTTCATAATGAAAAAGAAGGTAAGGAAATTAATCAGTTGAAATAAGTTAAGCACAAAATGAAAGAAAACAAAGAACATTAGACATTGTAACTGCCCAAGTGGATCTTGGCATTTAAGAATAATTCTCATTCCAAGAAAAACATTATTCTGCCTACCAAATGTCATTTTCTGATGCTTCATCTGGCTCCTCCAAGGGGGTGGAGTATAACATCTTCCAGAATGAAAGAAATACAATTGATTTAGACAAATAACATCCCAACATTTTATTTAACTATTAGTAAAAGAAATATATGAGGACAAAAAGTTTAAATCTACATACATTTATTAAAACATTTTCTGTCTTTATAACATAGCTACCCGTTTTTCCATGTCTTTCTTATTTCAATACAATGTGTTCAGTTAACTTAGCACCACTGCTTTAAATCAGTCAATAAACAATTTCTACCTTTCCATGGAGGATCTAGGACAGGTGTTAGTGGAGCACTAGAGGAGGCGTATGTAAAAGAGTTGGCTCCTTGACAAGGTACATGCTCCCCAGGAGGATTACAAGTTCCTGGAGGAGGAACACACATCAAGACAAGCTCAGGTTATAATTCACAAAGCCTTTTTTTAGATGGAGCCTCGCTCTGTCACCCAGGGTGGAGTACAGTGGTGTGATCTCAGCTCACTACAACCTCCATTTTCCCATTTCAAGCAATTCCTCTGCCTCAGCCCCCTGAGTAGCTGGGACCACAGGTACATGCCATCACACCCAGCTAATTTTTTGTACATTTAGTACAGACAGCTTGGTCTCAATCTCCCGATCTCATGATCCACTTTGGCTTCCCAATGTACGGGGATTGCAGGCATGAGTCACGGCGCCCAGCCCCAAAGCCATATTTCTATAGGTAGTAACCATGACAGCTTCTACCAGAATTACCTCAGCTGCCCCTGCTTGAACAACAGCCATTCATTCTCCTTTCTTCTGAGTCATTATTCCTCAAAGTTCAATCTGTCTTCAATAAACTGAGTCACACAACTCTCTGAATTATTTTTAAGTGATAAAATTGAAAGCTTATATTGATGAATGTATTGATCACTTGATGTATTTTAGACTATTACTGGTTGTATTAGTTTAAAACAACAGTTTACCCATAACAATGACAGAATGCAATTCTAAAAATACATTTAAAAGTTATTATAGGCCAGGCGCGGTGGTGCACGCCTGTAATTCCAGCACTTTGACATGCCGAGGCAGGCGGATCACCTGAGGTCAGGAGTTTGAGACCAGCCTAATATGGTGAAACTCCATCTCTACTAAATACAAAAAATTAGCTGAGTATGGTGGTGGGCACTTGTAAGCCCAGCTACTTGGGAGGCTGAGGCAGGAGAATTGCTTGAACCCAGGAGGCAGAGGTTGCAGTGAGCCAAGATTGTGCCATTGCACTCCAGCCTGGGCAGCAAGAGCAAAACCCTGTCCCAAAAAAAAAAGTTATTATAAATATACTATCCTGTTAAATAAGCCCTGCATAGGAAAGCACCCAGATTTGTTGTGCCCATTATTCCCAAACAAGAGGTTAGATGGTGTGGTCAGAACTGCACCAGCACACAACTGCATTTAGCTATTACTTTGGTAAGTAATTACATCAGAATTGGTGTTAAGAATCTTTAACGTGAAAAAGCTGTGAGTATCCAGAAAATTCTGACATAGACTGATAGTTGGTTTTACATTAATTTTCTGCTGCCTGGTATGCAATTTGGAGGTTGTACTGTCATAACAGTTTAAAACAGAGCTTGATTCCTAAATAAGACTCACAGGACCCAAAATGGCAAATCTTACAAAGCTACCAAAGATTACAATATGCATCGTATTCTATCCTACACTTACAGTGAGGAGTCCAGAGAAGTCAGATATGAGCTCCTTCGTCCTCCCTCTCTAAGGGCCACAGCGAGACACACATCCTCTCTCAGATCAGGGACTGATACATACACAGAACAGCTCAGAAGTGGGAAGTCCAAAACAGAGTCCCAACTGAGATTGCTTTCTATTTTACCGGTCACTTAGGTATATTCCTGCAACACAACCAGACTCCACAGCAGAGCTCTCCCAAGGTCTAACTTAGACTAGGTGTGAATTATCAGTCTCACAGTTGTCAACAAACAATGCTGATGAGCTGGGATAATCTGCCCCAAAACATTTTGGAAACATGGTCACAAATAAACCAACACTATTAATTAATATGTTTATATCCTGACCGTGGATCAATGACATGCAGCAACTTGTGCAAACAGCTCAAGTTAATTCCAGATCTGTTGAAACTGACCCTCACATCAGAGAGGCTGTCATTTGACCACTTTAGACTCTATATTACCATAAATTGATCATGCCATGCCTTGGCATTATGGTATGGCTCATACATAAAATGTTAGTGACTAACCACGTTCTTATCTGTCTCGTAGGAATATATATTACTAACGAAGAGAGAAAAGGCAGAGATGGATTTTTGGAGCTGAAGTCTGTTTTAACAAGGGTGCATAGTAATCAACCAGCCCAATCAGATAACTTGACCATTTGGTGTATGGCTTTGTTTCCAGTTCCAGGAAATAAAGTGTGGAACATCTCATCAGAAAAGATCACTTTTTCCTTAGGTGAGTTGTCTAATAAGATCATGAAGGATTGGCCAAGACTACCATAAATCCAGAACATCTTTAATGGGAACAAGTAGAATACTTATTGCTTCTATCATGTTTTAATCTCAGAAAACCTTCTACATAAAACTATTTTAAGTTATCAAACATTTTTGACAAGTAGGACTCCAATGAAAAGAATTCTTCAAATGAAAAGAAAATAGTTGATTCCTGTTTTCACAAAGCATTTCTGCTGAATACAGCAAATCTTCTGTTCAAATTTTATTCATAACTCTTAAATAGCTAGAATTTTTGTTAATCCATAACATAATGAAAATTAATACTAATACTGATGATCAAGAAGGATTTAAAAGACCCTAAAATTCCTTCTCTGCCATTAAAAACATTTTCGTTGTATACAACATATATACTTTTAATACTTAGGAATGTATAAGATGTGTACAATAAAAATACCATAAAAATAGGGATTGTATCTTAATAATTGTTGTATCCCTAGGTTCAATCACAGTATTTAGCACACAGAAGACTTTTATAACTTGAAAATTGATATATAGGATTACTCTAGTTATTACATCATTTGACTAGCCAGAACATTTACTACCCTGAACCAGGTGAAATGGAGATTTTACTACATAACTGAGAACTAACACCTCAATAAATACATTGACAACAGATATGCCGAAAGAAAAATAGAAGTAATGACAACTGTCAAATATTCATATTTAAGAGTAACCTTATAAAATGTAAATAGATTTGCAAATCATTATAACAACTCTATAGGAGCATTAACCTCTTTAACCACATTCTATTTTCAGAGATACCATAATCTGTAACATACTCATAAAAACACAGAATAATTTTAGAAAGAAACAGTTTCTCTTTCTTCCAAGGGCACCATCCGCATCTTGGGTTCTGCCCAGCTCCTTCATGAGTGCAGTGGTTGGTCACGAAGAAGGTTGTATACCCAGCACAAATCTATCCCCACTACTCAGAAGCAGGTGTGATTCTGATGCTGGGGCAGTGGCTTCACTCCCGTAGCCCTGCCTGTGTGTCTGTATACGTGTATATGTATGAACACATCATGCTGTATACTTTGAGTTAATCATTCAGAAATTGTGATGTATTTAGACTCAAACAGCCTTACTCAACTTTACCTAATTCCCTCAGGAATAAGACAGCTCCTTCCAGGAAAGCTGGACATGATAGGGCTGCAGTCTTGGAACCATGTGGAGTGTAGCTGATTCTCACATCGATTTGTCAGTAGCTTTGGCAGAATCTAAGGACTAATCTAAAGTTCAAATCCCTAAAGAGAACCCTATTCCCATCATAGGCAGAAACATGTCTATGTCTGTAAAACTAATAGTTTCTGATGTTAAAACAGTGCTTGATTTCAACATCAGAAAATAATGAATACCTTTTCAGGTAATAGGAAGAATACTAATTCTGATACTGATAACATGCCATAATTCCATTTGTATAGGGCAGACGTTGATGTAGCATAATTTTAGGCTCTGAATGGGTGGTTAAATTGCCAAATAAGTCTTCATGCTTTATGATCAAATATTAAAACAATTAATCTTGAGGAGTTCAATTTCGCAAAATTATAGCTTACATTCTCATCCCATTCTGGCATATATTGATGTGACTGACTTAGAAGACGCAGTCAAGGCTCTATAAAGCAATGCCATCACTGTATTATATCTCCCTATTGTTGCAAGCTCCTAAACACTTACTTCAGAACGTGCTCTCTGCCTATGGTGGTATTGCTGCATGCTTTACGATCTCTGGAGTCAACTTCTGATGTGTGGTGCAAGAGTCATTGCCTTACCAAGCTATTATTGTTGACAAGATACTGAGATGAAGACACAGAAAAAAAAAAATCTGCCATCCCTGAGTGTTAAATTAGAGAAATGCTAAGAATATTACATAGCAGGAGTTTTAGTGACAGAAGGAGAGAAGTTTTGCTCTCTTTGCTCTCTTTTGTTTCCAGAAAAGGGTAATAATGTTGGAGACTGTGAGGTAACACCCACTGAAGTGCTTCCTTCTCCACCTATACCCAGTCTCCCAAGAAGCTCTAGTGCTCAGTGACTCCTATTCTAGAAAACTCAGAAAGGGGAAGAGATTAGGGTTAGGGTGATCAGTGGCTCTTCAGGCAGCTCTCTGTGCTCCAGGCTCTGCAGACTTCCCATGATCCACAGTAACTACCACTAAGAAAAAAAAACCTTTCAAAAATATCATGGACCAGGCACAGCAGCTCACGACTGTAATCCCAAAACTTTGGGAGGCCGAGGAGGGAGGATTGCTTAAGTCCAGAAGTTCAAGATCAGCCTGGACAACATAGTGACACTTTGTCTCTTCTAAAAAATTTTAAAAATCAGCCAGGCATGGTGGCGCATGTCAATAGTCCTGCTTACTCGGGAGGCTGAGGTGGGAGGATTGCATGAGCTCAGAAGACTGAAGCTCCACTGAGCTGTGATCATGCCACTGCACTCCAGCCTGGGCAACAGAGCAAGGCCTTGTCTCAAAAAAAAAAAAAAAAAAAAAAAAAATCTTGCCCTGCTAGCCTGTCAAAATGTCTAAAATCGTAGCATTGCTGAGTCTATTTTTGGCAGATTTAAAGAGCTAGGTTTTGTGGGTTTTGTTTTGGGGAGTGGGTAGGAGATAGTTTGTCTCGTTTTCATCTGAAAGTTGAGTGCAATACCTCCTGGAGTGGATAATGTTTGGGTTGTCATCACCTTTAACAAAGATTTGTTTATTAAATGAATTTCTGACTGTAGCTGTTGAGATCAAGACCTTTGGGATAGAAAGAGTTAAACATTGACAGGTTGTATAGGTGTATGTGTGTGTAAATATGTGTATGCATCTTAGCATATGAAAAGAGGAGTAATAAAAAGATATCTTAATAGTGGAACAGGAGGACCACTGTGTATTGGTGTGGAAGACCCCAGACAAATACTTCTTGTTTCATGACACCCCTCAGTGCAGCTGGCCTCATACCCGTGACTGACCCTCCCTGAGAGTATCAACTGAGAGCTTTAATATGCATATAAATCACCCAGGGATCTTGCCAAAATGCAAAAATTCTGATTCAGTAAGTCTAGGTGGGACCTGAAATTCTGCATTTCTGACCAGATCCTAAAAGAAACCTATTCTGCCGGTCTATGGACTATATTTTGAGAAGAAGGGACGTAGCAAGCCCTTGGATTTGTCTTATTTCAGGTGGACAAGATAAGGGCTGATAGAAACTCTGAGGAAACCCCAGAATTAAGCCAGTTGCCCTGTGGGACAGACCCATGGCTGCTGCTGCCCATGAGGATGGTTCTGGGAGCCCTTCCAGGCCTCCTCAAGTGGACATACCCAGGAACAGATGAAGTAGCTTTAGGCAGCAGCTTACCCTCTTCTGACATTATGGTAAATGCAATGATCTGGAATCTGGCAGAGGTGTTTCTGGTAAATTCTGCATTTGAGTTTTGGGAAACTATTTCTTCTTTTTAGATTTTAATCACTATCTTCATAGCCCTTGAGTTTTGTTTTGACCAAGGCAGAGTTTCTATATTACCGTCTAATCTAAAACTAGACAGATTTTTTAGGCCCCACATTTTATATTGAAAGCTGTGTTTCACCTTTGTTACATGGCAAAGTGCTCATCTCAAAATGTCTTATAGTAATATCTTCTTAATGCACTAGGAGGCAGAACACCTCGGCTTACAAAATCACTTGGTGATGAGACATGGCAGAAAAGTATCCTAAAACTGAAATGTTCAATCAATGAAAAATAAATGTTTCCCACTGTGAAAACTGAGCATAACCTACCAATATCTTCTGTTCCAGGAATTGGCAAATTGGCAACATTTTTCTGTAAAGGGCCAGATAGTAAATATATTTTAGGTTTTGTAGATTGATTAATTTCAATCACAATTGCTCAACTCTGTCGCCTTAGCACAAAAGCAGCTATGGACAATATGGGAAAAAAAAGGGAAAAACTGTGTTCCAATAAAATTTTTATAAACATGATTTCACTGTAGACCATTGTTTGCCAACCTCTATTTTAATCAATATACAGAGAAAAACATCTAGGCATTTATTTTCTAAGCCAATGCCCTGTCTTATTAAGGTACCACTTTGGAAGATACTGCTTATGATCCACCAGCTGTCAGACCCATACTTTATGCTGGTGGGTTTTTGTTTTCGGTGTTAAGAATAAATTTGCATGCACTGATTAATCCACTTCCATTTGCCAGAATCCATAAATACAATGCAGAGCAAAACAGTGACTTCTCTTGAGGGGCATACACAATGACACAGAGTGATAAGGCGCTTGCTAGGGTAAACACAGAGGGATGAGCACATCGCAAAGATCCCCGGCCTTCCTCAGCTTGAAAAGGTACATTCAGGGAAGTCTGCAGATAACAAAGTGCCAGGAAACCATATAAACTAAGACCAAAAGGTCCTAGAAGTCACAGAGAGAATATTATGCTTGAGAAATTGGGTTGAAATATTCTTATTGGATAGAGGGTATGATTTGAGAGAGATGGAAGAAATGATAAGCAAAATCAGGAAATGAAATTGGGAGTGTAATGAGATCCCAAGTCATAATTAGACTTGTGTGTCATGCTGAAGAGTTTAAACTTATTTTGGATGCATGAAGAAAATGGATGGCCATTTTGTTAACCTATCCATATACTTCCCATATAACTGTCCTCCATCTCCTCAGAGATTATTTGCACCAAAGCATTCATATAGTAGTGGATCAGAGCCAGCTATGAGCACCACACAGAGCCAATGGCAATAGCAATGCTACCAACAGTGAGAATAGAACATACATGCATCTAGCTTAGAAAAACAGATTCCTCCCACTGGGAAGAATGTGCTATCAAGCACACTGGGCTATGTGCTAGCAAGTGATATAACGTAAGTAAAATATACTTGTCCCTTAAAGTACATTACAGAATAGAACCAGTAGTATAATTAGTAATTAAATATCCAAATAATGGATATAGTTCATCAGATGTGTAACACTGTATCCAGTGACATTTTATCTACAAAAATCATAAAATCTTCTAATTTTAAAATCATCTCAGCACATTTAAACATGTTCCTAAAGTCAATAGAGCCTTCTGGCATTTGTAAATTGCCTTCCAAATATAACTGTTTTTTAAATACAGTGATGGAGATTTAAGGAATTGACATAAATATAAAATATAAGTAAAACAACATTCTAGCTTCTATTTCAACTCCCCCAATACATACACACACACACACACACACACACACACAGAAAAAGTTGTAGCCAAACAAAAATATTATGACAAAAGCTGAAATTTTAGAAAGCATAATAGTATTACAAGTTTACTAATGTTACATGCAAATGGATAGTTTCATCATTGTTTCTACTCTTGCTGATATAAAAATTTTTGTGGGTTTATGGATTTTGTAAACTGCATGATTACTTTTCAAACACTCCAAAATATTAAATGCTGTATTAGTTTTACTAGGTCTTGGTTAAGTGTAACTTTTTCCAGGAAGCCTTCTCAGACCTCCTAATCTTTACTAGTGATCCTTCATTGCACTCCTGTGGCCACCTATACTTCCACTGCCACGGTACTCAACACAATGCTTGGCTGCCTTCTTCAGGCCATAGGACCTTAAGGACACTCCCATGTCTTTCTCATCCATCATTATATACCACAACCTTGAACATAATAGGTCCCCAATATTGATTTGTTACATGTTGAATAAATAAAGGAAAGTGGATTTAGGAACTAAGTCAATATTTTATCTTTCTGTTATAATATTTTGTTCATTATAAATATATTTCTAATCCTTTCAGGTTCTGAAAATTCCCCAACAGACCCTCCATTGAGTGTTACAGAATCTACCCTTGACACCTTACCTTCTCCAGCCAGCAGTGTATCACCTACAAGTAAGAATGTTTTCATACTGAGCTATTAACTTAACCAAGCAGATTGATAAAGAAAAATTTTCAGCAAAGTTGCATGATTCATGCCTGTTTCTCGGCTGTAACTTTTTTTTGGCTGAAATTAGGTTTTTATTTTTTAACAGCTTTATTAAGATATAATTCACATCACGTAATTTGCCCATTTAAAATGAACAGTCTAATGGTTTTTAGGATGTTCACAGAGTTGTGCAACCATTACCACAGTCAATTTCAGAACATTTTCATCACCCAATAAAGAAACTCCCAAACATATTAAAGGATTATTCTCATGGCTTCAAGAAGTTAACACAGCTTCCAAAATCCTTTACTTGAAGCCCTGGGAAAATCAAGGTCAATAAATATTCAGTGAGGAATTTAAACTCCGCATGTATTATTAAATAGGTTAATAAATTGACAGTCATCCTCCAAAACAATGTTCTCAGTGAGGAATTTAAGAGATTGGTTGTAAATGGCGATAGGCCAAAGGAGGTTAAATCCTTTTAACATTCAATGTGTTCTGGTTCAAATTAATGTTGACAAAGTTGACTGGTGAGGATTATGAATTCGCTCCTCCCATCTGAGGCATCATTAATGGAGGTCAGCCTGGGTCAGCATTACTATGACAAAGGAATGGCAGTGACTCTCAAAAGCTGTCACTGATGCAACAAATTATGAATTCCCATGTCTGTGGCTTTCGTGTCTAACAAAGAACCATGGTGACTCTCTAAAAAAAAAAAAAAAAAAAAAAAAAAAAAAGCTTATATTCTATGTGAATTAGAAGTATGGCTCTCATTTCTCATTTAATTAAAACTATCAATTTTAGCTCAAAATGAGAACTGAAAATGGAATAAAACAAAAGCAGTCAGCAGGAATGAACAATTCCTTTACCTGGTAACCTTTGGCATCCAGCCTGCAGTCACTGTCACAAGTTGCTACTTCTCAGAAAATGAAGTGGCAGAAAAGCTTGCAAACTACCCATCAAAAGTTTCACATCCATCTGAATTTTTTATGTTCTTAATGTTTTGTAATTTTTCTTTTCTTCTTTTCTTGGAGCCTCTTTTTCTTCTACTTTTAACTCACCACCAGTAATAAACCACAGTTAATTATGGCATTTTTCATTCAATGAGTAATAGCATATTCAATAATAATAAAACCTTAAATCTTTCTAGTATCTTGTATATTAGTTATCCACTGCTGCATTAAAAATCCCTCAAATTTTAGCAATTTACAAAACATGTATTGTCTCATATGGTTTCTGGGGGTTAGAAATTCAGGAGTAGCCTAGCTGGAGGGTGCTAACCTGGGTTCTTTCATAAGGTGCAGTCACACTGCTGGCTGGGGCTTCAGTCATCTGAATGCCTGATTGGAACTAAAGAATCTGCTTCTAAGCTCTAGCATATACTTGGGAGATCTCAGTTCCTCACCACATGGTCTTCTCTATAGGTCTGCTTACAATATCACAGTTGGCTTCCTCCAGATCAAATAATTCAAGAAACAGAGTGACTAAGTCAAAAGCCATACTGCCTTTTTACGGCTTAGTCTCCAAAATTGCATGTCATTACTTCTGCTTTATTTTATCTACTAGAAGTAAGTCTCCAGGTCCATCTTATACTCAAGGGAAGAAGAATTAGGCTCCACTTATTGAAGGAAAGGGTATCAAGAATCTGTGAAAAAATTAAAGCTACCATACCGTCATTTAGAAGTGTCTGCACATAAAATGCAATGTGGTTTGATATTCTTTACTATGAGTGGTAGACAGAGCCAACATTATTGTTCCCACTTGCCAGATGAGGACACTGAGACACTGAGAGCTTAAGTGATCACATACCTACTAAGTGACAGTGTTTTGCATTCACACCACAGTCTTATGACTAAATCTAGTTCTCGCCACATTAGATACCATTTTTTCTCCAGTTGGTCTAAACACACCATAAGAACAGGAACCATATTTGTTTTGCCTTCTAGAAAATTCTTAGCACAGAGGAGGCAGTCAAAAACTGCTAGTTGAATAATTAATGAAAAGAATGAAAGAATTAATAAGAATAAGGTTCTTTCACTATGCAGATGTCATTCAATAGACTATTTAATGCTAAATAAAAAAGATAAAAATATATTTCTGCCTTCAGAAAGGTTGCAGTCTACTTAGAAGAGAAAGTAAACATACATAAAGATAATAATTCAAAATAGCAAGGTGAAAAGTGGTGTACCTTACAGAATTAAAATGCTCAGGGAGAGGTACAAACCAGTAAGTATTAGGTTTTGAAAGTTCTTTATGAGTTCATGTGCTCAGAAAATGTTACCTAGGAGAAATGAAATAACTTGACCTTTGAAGTATGTATTGTATATATTTGACTCAGTGGAGAGCTTGAAAGAACATTCTAAACAGAGAAAACAGTGAACAGTTATTATGTGCAGTGACAAAGATGTTTATGGGCATTTGAGAAAGCATCTGTAGATAAGCTTGGATAAAGAGGTGGCATAGTGTACCAAAAAGCAGGGATGCAGATTGGAAAATGCAAACTAAACAAAGCCTTGAGCCCCAGCTTAAGGACTCCAAATGCCATCCTTTATGAAATGGGGGAAGTACCTCATTCAACTTTATTTTAGGAAGAAAGTGGTACAATTTAATCATCAGATATTTATTGAGCACCCACTATGTATCAGGTACCCTTCTAGGTGCTGGGAATACAGCAATGAACAAAACTGAAAAAAAAAATGTCTTCATGGCATTTATATTCTTCTAGTTAAAAGCAGGCATGAATTTCTTCTGGTTGAATTTTTATAAGGTTAGTCTACATACACTAAGTGCTTATAACAGACCAAACACAATTCTTACTTCTGTGACAAAATTTTAAGCAAGAGAAAGCAGTTGTTACACTTAAGAAGCCTACAGTTGAATATACGTTTAGTATTAATGAAGGAAAGAAAGCAAAGTCAAGTAACATATTTGTTTAAAAGCAGGGTGGGGAATGCTATCTGGTCTACTATCACACTAAGACGTCATAGTTGGGAGGTCTGTGCAGAATCACAAGACCTCTATAAAACAAAGTCCCACCGCATTGGACCTGAGGATTGTGTTAGATAAGCGGTTGCCAACCAGGGTAATTTTGCCATCCAGAGGACCTTTGACAGTCCCTGGAGACATTTTTGGTTGTCACAGTGAGGGTGGGAGGGTGCATCTAGCATGTAGAGGCCTGGGATGCTGCTACACATTGTATAACACAGGACAGAAAAGCCCTCACAACAAAGAATTCTTCGGTTCAAAATGTCAGTAGTGCCAAGGCCAAGAAACCCTGTTTTAGATCAAGGTTTAGGTGTGATTACAGTAGGAGTTGCTTACTTTACAAAATCAAACCTGGATTTCTGTCAAGATGGCAACAATAGATTATGTTTGGAATCACTTTGTTTGACTTTGTATGTCAAAAAAAACTCATGTTAAACCAGTGGCAGATTATGTCTAAATAAACTTATCTTCTCGGAATAGTCACTGAATTATTATTGAAAAATCCAGATTTTGTCTTGGCAGATTAGAGGGTAATTGCAAAATGATACAATGACTTCCTGCCTCAGAAGCTGGTAGGATTCACCTTTGCATGCTTTTTGAAAAAAGGAAGTGAGATGAAGCATGTCCTGGAAGCCAACTTCAAAGGCTATGGTTTCATTCCAAATTCTAAGATGTAATGAGCTTTATAATCCAGTCATCATTACAAAGCTGCATGTTTGGCTGCAGGCATCCAGTTCTTAATTTTTCCTCAATGAAAGGATATTTTTTAAACAAATGTTGGAGGTCATGAAAGCAATATTCTTTAACGAGGAGAGGAGGGCTTAATAACCCATAACAAACTGTAAGAGTTACCCAGGGAAGCCCAGCTCAATTCAGCCTGAACCAATTAGTGTTTGCCGAGTCCCAATTGCATTCTCAGTGCAGTTCTAGGAAAAGACAGGCTGACAAGCTAAGTGGCAAGATGAGACAAGTCCATGTGGAACAATCAGAGACACCTGATGAATCCAGGGTGGGGCTGTACAGACACAATTCAGGAGCTTCTGTCGCTCTGAGGAGAGAGCCCTGTGACTTTCAATTCACTGGCTCTCACTTGGCTAAGAGTTACGTAGCCTAAGAAAACAGTCCTCAGAAATGCCAACTGGTATAGCAATCATCCAAGATATTTATTTATTCAACTCATAAGTATGGAGTGCCTACAATGTGTCAGGGACTTTTGAGGTGCTAGGTTACAGTGATCAACAAGACAGGCAGGGCTCTTGTGGCTTACAGAGCTTACAATCCTGTGTGACCCACCTGCCGTGACTCTTATTTTAGTGTCCACCAGTCCCTTTGGCTCTGTCTCCAACTGTTCTGTTTGCACATGACCCATGATGATGTTGACTTTAATATTAAGTCCTTTCTAATGACTTAGCTGGTTCTTACCATCTAGGTCTTTCTACTCCTGGGTGCTTAGAGTAAAATACTAGGTCCAGTCTGACTCTAACCCTCAGCCAGCACCTCAGGTAGACACAGCTGATCCTTAGCATGTGGATGATCAGGCACTGAGGAGCACAGACTAAAGGAAAACTACTGATTTATGAGTGAACATGTCAGAAATGGTGGGAGATCAACCCGGAAGACATGCCATTAGATGAGATTAGAAGAAAGTAAATCATAAGTTCAGCAGTTGATAGGGGTATTGGATTCTAATGTTAACAGTGGAATACCAGAGAGAGTCTGCAAGGCAGGGAGAAGACTCCAGCGATTTGTTTGTGACAGCAACTTCTGACCCCTTTGCTAGTCATGCCATGCCTGTCTTCAGGTGCCAACAGAGCACCTCAGTTGCTGTCTAATAGTTCCTGCCTTTATCAACATGTATCTGCTGCAGAAAAGTAAGAAAAGTCAATGAGTGCTGGTGTAAAGGAAGGAGGATCAGGGAAGTCTGCACACAGGGTCTGGAAGAAAATATTGACTTAGGTCAATAGGAAGAAAGATGAGAAGC